AAAAAAAAAAAAAAAAAAAAAAAAGAGTTCTAAGGGAACAATTTTTTAAAGAAAACAACCTAGGGTGTTAAAATATTCCATTAATGTATTGAAAAAAAGTCTATAAAGCAACAACCATACAAACATTAAACCAACAAAATTCTTACCTCCCAAGTGAGTATCTCCGTTTGTGGCAAGAACCTCAAAAACACCATTGTCAATAGTCAAGATACTGACATCAAAAGTACCACCACCAAGATCAAATACAAGAATGTTCTTTTCACCGCCTTTCTTGTCCAAACCATACGCAATGGCGGCCGCAGTGGGCTCGTTGATGATCCTAGCAACGTTGAGGCCAGCAATAATACCGGCATCCTTGGTTGCTTGCCTTTGGGCATCGTTGAAGTAAGCTACACATAAAATAACAGAACACTGTAAGCAAACAAGAAACAAACAAATATCGAGAAACTCAGGAATGATAAGCATTATATTTCTTTACTAACCTGGAACAGTGACGACGGCGTCCTTAATCTTCTTGCCAAGGAATGCTTCGGCTGTTTCTTTCATCTTTGTGAGAATCATAGCACTGATTTCCTCAGGGCTGAAAACCTTAGTCTCACCATCCTTGATCTTTACTTGAATGTAAGGCTTTCCATCCTTATTCACAATCTTGTAGGGAAAAAGCTTGATATCTTTCTGAACTTCCTTATCATCAAACCTGTTTTAAAAACAGAAAATTTTCATAAGAAAACTTTTAAGTCATTGATTCTAAATCAGTGAAAGTTGTCCCAAGTCTCAAGAAATAGCTGCATACTTTCTACCAATAAGTCTCTTGACATCAAAGACTGTCCTTTCAGGGTTGACAGCTGCTTGATTCTTCGCAGCCTCACCGATCAATCTTTCACTATCAGTGAAAGCGACCCAAGAAGGGGTGATACGGTTTCCTTGGTCATTCGCTATAATTTCTACATGACCGTTCTTGTAGACTCCAACACAAGAATAAGTAGTTCCCAAATCGATCCCAATGACAGTCCCCAACTTAGTCGCTTCCTCTTTCGCGATGGAAATTGCGGACAGGCATCCTGAAATTTCAGCCAGGTTAATAACAATAGACCCATGCATTCGTCCAAAACGATAAAACTAAATGCGTTCCAAATATTGTCTTCAACTCAGACTAAAAAATTCCAAATCAATGATTCAAGGAACCTCGCTTATACATTCCACAGATGAAAAAAAAAAAAAGTATCAATTCTAAAACATGTACTTCGAAGTTTTAACGGGTGAACCTATTAAGAGGAGCTAATGCCCAACATTCCGAGTCTTCATTATCCTGACATTACGTCTACATGCAAGACATAGGAAAAACACTGCAACAAATTTTAACACAAGAATTCATACGAATATCACTCTAGATCACCTTGAATCCGACATCCATCACCTACAAAACATTTTCGAGATCTACAGAGCAACCGTCTCCGTTTAAAATCAACAAATGTCAAGAAAACACTCCCGATCTGTCACAACAACTCCATAACAAACACCAGCCATTGCAGTCCAGCAAAAAACCAACCATGCTTAAGACTTCCAAATTACAATCTCATAAAACAGCACACAGATCTAAACACCTTTACCAACTAAAGAAACAAGAATAAGCCAGATCTAAGGCATCGGAAGGAGAAAACATTACCGAAGAAAACGATTGCCAGTACGATCAGAGACCCTTGAGCTCTCCAGGAGCCAGCCATGGCGCTAGTGCCGCCGAAAAACTATCTCTGGAAGTTGAGAGAGTTGAAAGGAGAATGACGAAAATGAAGAAAAATGCTTTGGGGTTCGTTCTTGGATTTAGAAATTTTCGGAAAACTAATAGCGCGAGGTGAGGTCTTATATAGTGAGATCAATGAAATTTCAGGTTGCCACGACCCTTCATTTTGCGTAGAACCGTGTCATTCATGATGACGTGGACCAATCAAACTTCGTGTAACGTGATTGCAACCAATAATATTGCGTTGAGTGTTGGGATGATCCTGGCCGTTGATTTGGTTTTTGATTATACGTGGCGGTGT